CCTGGATTTCAGATCCTAACTCAATAAACAGGCATGTGGATATACCGCCCTGTTATTTTGCCATCCGTGGCCATGACCAGAAACCAGGGCCCAGTTCCTCTACAAGCACGCAGGCCACCACCTCAAGGTCACATGCCGTTACTCCAGGGACGCGCTTCGGAGACGCGATAAGATAGCGTGAGAATGGACTTGGCGTGGACAAAGACCAATCAATAATTGCCACCACCACCCCCTCCCTTACCAACCCCATTTATGCGTAGCTGACGTTTGCTGTTCTCTCATTTACTCTGACAATAGCTTCTCGTGTGGAGCCGAAAGCTCAGAGATACAACTATTGTTCCAGAGGTCGCGTCTTCCTCTTCGTTACAACAAGAACCTGGGGCACGCATATTTGCTTCTTCTTTACAACAGGGTTATTTGGCGGATTTGGTTAATTCAATGGACCCACTTGTGAAAAAAACTCGCGGTCTCTGTGGGAAGGTTTTTGCGCAGCCAACACTCTACCATCGAGCTACATGGTTCACCATGAGCCGTGAATTTACACACAGTTGGGTCGATTTTAAGCGGCCAACTTACCGCTCGTATGAAATCCACCATTACAGTGTAGTGTGCGAGCAACTTATGGAGTCGGAGGAGCCAGCGGTTTCGTATTTAGGCACAACCTCGGGTGTCGAGCAGACTGTAGGGGTTGACGGTTCGTCAGTTCCTGACTTTTGATTTTTGCCTTTCCTGGGTATATCGAATACAAGCTCAATTAAACCGAAGAGTAACTCAGAGATGCGACAAAAACGTATAATAGCGGGAAATGAATGGGGGAACACGTCACAAAGGGAACAAGGGGCCAATGGGAGGTACTAAGATTGGAACACTGTTCAGGGTAAGTGAAAAATGGGGAAAAAGGGGAAAGGACCAACAATGTCACGAAGACTCGTCAGTTGGCGTCACCTCCACAGGTTCCATTTTCTGTTCCAATAGCTCACCCTCGTCCACAACTGCAACAAGGGAAAAGAAATTCAGGGAGTACCACACAGTCTAGCTCACTCTTCAAAAACCGCGGCAAAACTCACTCTAGCTCTTTTTAAGACAATTAAAACAACCGGGTATTCTC